TTCGCAAATATCCCACCATACCTAGGCGTCTGCATGATTTTATGCACTTCTTAGCAAAGTTAATGGGTGCAAATGGCTAATCACCAACTCTACACTTGTTTCCCTTTGCAATCTGTTAATATTGACAATTATCGAAGAAAAAGGTTTGAGAGGGATAACTAATATATTTTATTATTTAGATATGAATGTCGATGTAGGCCTACTAAATGAGAAGGATTCATTTTTTAAACTATATGTGCGTGTGTTCACATACATATGATCCCCCTCGAAAATTACAAACACCCAGTGACCATCTCCCCCCCCCCCTGTGTGGAACATGGGAAAAATTCAACAACTTCGGTAAGTTCTCGAATTCGATGTACTAAACTCATATGCTTTTAAATTCTCAAAATTGAACCACCATGTTGCATTCATGCTAGGAATGTAAGTAGGATGATTTTGTATTAATGTTGCCATCCACAGTTCCCCATTTCTTCAATATTGAAGTAAAAGAAAAAGAAAAAAAAAAGGTTTCTATCTGGTTTAGATTAATGTCTTTGATAAAATACATTTATTAAACTTTTCAGACGAAACTATCTACTTTTCTGAACAACAAACAAACAAAAAAAATACATACCTTTACAGATTAGCATCCCTATTGAAAATTAAAATTCCTAATGACTTAGTAATCATCACATCGCAAAGTACACTAAATAAGATTTTTTTTCATATAATATCATTAGATTCAGAGAAAAATAACAGATAAACTTTGGCAAAGTGCCAAAATATAATACGCCATATTCCCGTTCGGTAATCCTAGCTATCGTAATTTTCGTGCGATTCAAATGCAGTTTGTTGCCCTCGAGTCCTAAGGCCGTGTAAATGGCAGATTTTTAAATTGTTGCCTAAATCCAAAAGAATACACCTTTTAAAAGCAAACTAAAAATAAATACCTAAGGCATCTTTTCCGGTGGCACTTAGTGTCGCGAGACGCGCCGCTTCACCAAAAGCTATCTCGTGATCGGAGGCGAGACAGGTCTCTAAGCTCCGCCCATTTCTGTGACGTAATGGGAATGATCGCGGTTGACGGCTTGCTATTTTACTGTACTAGTTATTTTTCCGACAGGTACACAGTATTTTGGAATATGATATCCAAGATGGCTTTTGATATCTTATGGTGGGTAGTGTGTGTTATAAATAACCAATATAAGTACGAATATGCTTAAGTAGGAGGATTGCATCTAGCAACTCAATTAAAGTTGACCGTCTGCTCGCGCAAGAGGTGTCGCGTTTCCCGTAACCGCTGGAAAAGATGCCTTTAGAAGGCATCTTTTCCAGCGCTTACGGGAAACGCGACACTTTTCACGTGGCAGGAATCGAGCAGGCGGTAATCAAGTTGCCAGATGCATCTCTCCTACTTTGGATATTTCATGCATATTCGTACTTATATTGGATAAATATAATACCGCACTACCCACCATAAGATATCAAAAGCCATCTTGGATATCATATTCCAAATACTGTGTACCTGTCGGAAAAATAACAAGCACAGTAAAATATCATGCCGTCAACCGCGGCCCTTCCCATTACGCTACCTTGCATACAAGCCAGGAAATTATTTGCAGAAGCTGATGTTCTTTGTTGTTTTATTATTCAGAATGTGGTCATTTAAGGCATCTTTTCCGGTGGCAATTAGGGTGTCGCGATTCGGGCGCGACATCAAAAGCTGTCTCGTAATCAGAAGCGAGAAAGGCCTCTAAGCTCTGCCCATTTCTGTGGGAATGGGAATGATCGCGGTTGACGGCTTGCTATTTTACTGTATTGGGTATTTTTCCAACAGGTAAACAGTATTTTGGAATATGATATCCAAGACGGCTTTTGATATCTTTTGGTGGGTAGTGCGGTGTTATAGATATCCAATATAAGTGAGAATATGCATGAAATATCCGAAGTAGAAGGAATGCATCTGGCAATTCGATAAATGTTTACCGCCTGCTCGATTTCTGTCGCGCAAGAGGTGTCGAGTTTCCCGTAACCGCTGGAAAAGATGCCTTTCATTTCCCTTTCTAAAGTTCACCATACTCACAATACCACATGAAAACGATGTTTTTTCTTGTTTTTGATGTTTCGAATGTTTTCCATTGACGTTGGGTTCCTTGTTTACGAAATAGCCAATATTAGGCTTATCTATAAAATGAGTTATTTTTCATGAAATAATATCAAAATCAATTGAATAATTAAAATCTGATGTAAAAGCTAACCAACTTCCTGGCCAGGCTCTCTCCCCAATCAGCGCGATCGGGCAGTTCAGGAAAAAGAGACAGAAATGTGCAAAGAACTGAATAAGATTTTTTTTTTTTTTCATCTCAGTAAGCAATCTTCATCCATAGTTGGTCATTTAAAAAAATGAGGACTTGTGATGGTAAATATAGTAATTTCATTTACAATGCAGTAAAGAACTTGTAAATATAAACTATCAAAATTTTGTTTTATTGGCAAGGATATTTGACAGCAATGAAATGCTGGCCGAGGGTGACCAATTTTATTGATTTCCTATGGTAGAAAAAACACAATGCACAAACTAAATTTATTTAAATAAATGAGACATCAGTTTCGGAATGCTGCCGGAATCCGTCATCATGAACTTCATTTTATTTATTTAAAGTATGAGTTCCAGGACTTCGAAACTGTAAGTTATTTATTTCCGTAAATCTATTTTGTGCATTGTGGGTTTCTCTACCATAGTATCAGGCGCGATGCCAGGGGGGGGGGGGTGTGAGGGGGTGCGACACCCCCCAAAGGTCACAAATCGTCATTTCACTCGGCAGAATGGAAAAAAGAATTACAGTTTACTCAGCAAACTTCGTGGTCGGCATAATTTAAGAAATCAGTGATCATGGTTTGTAACTCGAAGTTTACATTTTCATTTCAATTTGGTCCTTTCCGAAACAAAATATTAAAAAGTATGAAGTGTGGATTTAATTTTTAAAATGTTACTCGCTAACCTTGCTCCCGACACCCCCCCCAAAAAAGTTTTCTAGCGCGTCCCTTCATAGTATCAACACGGTAGTGTTTTTCCATTCATTGATTTACTATTATTCTCCACGCGCAATAATAACGATAATTGATATATTAGTCATAAGATAGGGATGAAAAATGAAAGTGAAAGTAGAGTGGCACCAATTATACACATGTTTTACTACAACTGTTCACATGAAATGATCATTACTGGTACATCTCGTGCCTCGTTGGATACACGTATCCGGGCTAAATCGATGAAGCTTGAAACAGTCTAATGAAAAAAATGTGTTATTGAGATGAACCAGATGATTAATTTTAAATACATTGTTTATGCTGCCAGACTAATAATGATGTGCAGCATTATACATGAAAGCAAATTTATAAAAGGAAAGTCCGACTCGGATACTCAGAGCCATGCATAATCGTCAATAGACATTAGCAGTCTGCCAGACAAGCAAAGATTAAGAGACAAACAGAACATCCCTTTTTTGTTTGTTTGTTTTTTGGATGAAACTATGTAATACTTTCACAGTAATGCTAAGCCTCAGCGTTATTCAATCCAATTTCGAGCTTTAGAATTACATAACCACGTGTAGTATAAAACAAAATAGGAGAAAATAACCAATCACAAGTTCTAACTGACGACAGCGATGACCTCAGGGTTCTCAAGGGAATAGTCAGCAAACGAGTGACCTTGGCTGGTCTTTTTCAAACCTTATTGCGATGTTGGGTATAGAGTAAGTTTCTGATTTATGTTTGATAGTATTTGAAATCCTATTATTTTGTGCAGTGTTATGGCATTCTAATGAATATCATGGTATACTACTAAGTATTCTTTAGTAAATATTTTGCGATCATGAATCAACTGCCAGAATTGAAAGGATTCGCCATATCATTTAAGCTGTCTTTTCGTAATCCAAGTATATTTTCACGTTAAAGTTGAGTTATTTTGCTGCTCAATACTTAGAAGACTCGAGTTGTTACCTATACGATTAGATATATACGTAAGAAATTAACTTTACACGCAAATAATTAGATACATAAATGAATGTGTGTGCGCGCGCGCGTGCGTGTGTGTGTGTGTGTGTGTGTGTGTGTGTGTGTGTGTGTGTGGTGTGTGTGTGTGTGTGTGTGTGTGTGTGTGTGTGTGTGTGTGTGTGTGTGTGCGTGTGTGTGTGTTGTGTGTGTGTGTGTGTGTGTGTGTGTGTGTGTGTGTGTGTGTGTGTGTGTGTGTGTGTGTCAGCCGCTTTTAAATTGACGGAAGGGACTGGGTTGAATTATCCAGAATTTTTTTTACAAACCTACAAGTTGCCTAAATCAAACGGGTGTTGTGTTGTCAAGTAAGCATGGTTGATATTAAGTCTTGCTTCGGAAATCAAGTGTTTGGTACTGCTAAATTAATAAATGTATATAACGTCAGTTTACATATAAGTTCTGTGAACTTTGATATAGTGTTAGGACATCACAACACAGTCTTCCTTTACAGAGTTCTATGTAATTTTGACAGAAATACAATGAAAATTATAGATGCTACAGTCTTTTCTGTAATCAAAGCTTAACTAAGTTTCCCACATTCTGAACCGCCACAATCATAGATGATATACTCGCAAATTACTATAATTGGTGTTGTTATTGTTATTATTATTATTATTATTATTATTATTATTATTATTATTATTATTAGGCTGTTGAAACAGTAAAGAAATTATCTTATGTTACTTCTTCCTACAGCAAGGGTGAGGACCCCAAACTAGTCCCCACGCCGGCACATTTTAAAATCTCTCGGCGTCCTTGTACGCACACACACACATGCTTGCTTGCGTGTGTCTAGGTAGGTAGGTACACATATCTAGGTATATGTAGATAAACTGTATATTCATAAATATCCACACCGACATACTAACATATAGGTAAGTGCGAAGCTTGTCGCGAAATTATTTCTCTACAAAGTAACTAACAGTTTCAGGCCTGCTGATAGAACACATAATTTTATTAACTAA